GACAATCAGTATCCGAAATCACATAAAGCCAGTAAAAAATCCGGCTACCATTTTTTCATGGCGACGCTATGTAAGTCGCTGGCTCCACAAAAAATCACGTGTCTGCAAAATTTTTATGGCGACAGAATGCAGTATTTTAATATAGAGCCAATCAGATTGTTCGGTATGATGAACTCATTTAACCAGTTAAACTATTTTCGGTAAATAAAATTGGATTCTATTCGAATATTCGTTAAATGACTATTATTCGAATAAGTACTATTCATTCGATATGTAGCAGCTAATAATATATACAGTAGCCGCTACCATGTGCGAAACAGCCAATTAAGCTTCTGCAAGTGCGCCGTTAAAACATAGTACCTGGCTACCCAGGCACTATGTTTTAACAGCACCATGCCTGGAACTTGTAGAATTCTACAGCCAATGACTGAAGTTTCACATGACGAATAATAAAAATTAAATTTGCTTATTTGAATTATTCACAGATTCGTCGAATATGATTATTATTCGAATAACAAATATGAATATGAAGCTCTAGCCTCGACCTACTGATTTAGGTGCTTGAGAACTATTATCAGATGAAAAATTTTATTGAGTTAGGTTTTTCTCAAGCATCTCCCTCTATGTGGTATGTCTTTATAATTTTTAGCGTGATCAAATTTTTTTTTTATTATACATTTACTATTTAGGCTGGAAGTACTTTTGATATATTACTTTTTAATGGAACAGGAGAATCAATTACAGATTTCATCTTCGTTCAGTTGTGAGTGTCGTCAAAGATTCTTTAACAATTCTCATAACTGTTTTTGGATTTTCGCTATTCGTTTTAAGGTATGCTTCATATAATAATGATTACAGTCCATAAATTATATAAATTGTAACTTTTTAATCCTTTTTTTTAATATATGTAGAAAACGGCATATCTATTTTAAGCTTTCTTTTGCTTTACTAATTCTCAACATATGTATTATCTATTTAGTTATTAATTTCGCTTTAGCTTTTCAACCCTTTTTATTGCTTGCATCAATCTTTACAGCAACACTCAAACTGAACAAGATGAGATAGCATGTAAAGCTCTAGCAATTTATTTCGTATACGTTATAATAATTGTTGGTGCAATTTCGATCGCTTTATTGGTATGTTCAATTTGCTTGATAAAATATTCAATAATCTAACTATTTATACATCACTTTGATTTTGATTTTTTAGATTTATTTTGTCATAATTATTGCTGCTTATGCCGCAAAGCGTAAAGCTAAAGAAGAAGCTGCCTTAGCATCTGAAACATCTGGTACAACGAGGTGAACGCGGATTTGAAGGCTGGATGTTATTTTTATTATATTCAGTTTATCTATTTTCTTTCTTACATATATGGCAATCATATATATATATATATATTAGCAAACTTGTCAATATTTTTTTTCACCATATCCACGCAAGAAGGTAAGCTATAAAGGTATTAAATTGAATTAAAAGTAATTTATCGTGCAAACTTCATGTGTTACAAATCACACGGAATTTGAATCGACGATTTAAAACCGTTACTATGTTGGTTTTCCATTTTTGGTGTAATTGATATCTAACTAAACCAATATCGTGAGCCATCAAATGAGTTTATCCGAGCCATAAAAATTTAATCACTCTGCATTATAGTTAGAGGTATATTAGAACAGCATAGCGTTTAAAAATTCCACAAGGAACATTTTAATTAGGGCGCGGAAAGTGAATTCCCAATTAAAATTTAGGTTCATTGGTTTTGTTTTTGGATTCGTTTTAGGTTTTTACGATCTTGAAATTCGATTGGTCAAATTACAGGAGGGCCAATTTTTGTGGACCTAGGGTTTGTTACAGTATTAAATGCTTAAAAACTTTTTTTTTGCTATGATTTTTATTATATTAATATAATCAACTTTCGTTAGAGATCATTAAGATCATACTAGTCATTTGATATATGCATAATTAAAAATGATTAAATTAGATTGAACTAGATTTTTGAATTTTTGAGCAAGGTTATTACCACATTTAATAAAATAATTTACTTGACTTCATACGTCATACGTAGCATTAAAGTTTGTGGGCGTTAAATCGGCAATTTGATTATTTCGAGTTCATTCAAGTGTACTTATGTAGATTAAACTTTCTGTGAAGATAACAATTTAACAAATTTATTTATTTTATGATACGATGCTTTTTTTTGTTGAGAGTACCTGTCACATTTATACTAGATAACCAAAATTTATCGTTATTCGGAGATTTGTCATTGTCCCTCCTTTTGGACAAAGTGTAGTACAATACGGTTATGTTTGGTTATGATAGTCAAAAAGTATCTGCGTCTGTACGTACGTAATACATAAAAGATAATAATGCTTATATATAGCGATAGGCGGCAATAAAGTTCGGGTTTATCCTTTTGAGATTCAGATATGGAAAAGGAAGATTATATAAAATATTTAAACAGTTGGTATAGTAGACTTCGAAGTCGATATGTTGACTTGATTGGTGACTTTGGAGGTAAATATCAATTAGGATAACTAATATATTAAAGAACATTTTAAATGTATTCATACGTTACTGTATTTAAATTTTCTTCCGAATAAAAAATTATATTTGGACGACTTTATAATTAAAATCTTTATAAAATATTAATGTATACGTAATTAATACTATATATATATCGATTTTGTTAATTTATTAAGGTAGTGAATTGTTCGTCGTAGAGGGTGATAGTTTGCTTTACGAATTCCTTTGCGATCCAGAAAGTCATTTTCTTAATTTTAAACAGCCATATGGCGGTGGTCAATTCTTGTCCCTCACTTATCTTGTAGAAACATTTCTTAACAAACTCAAGCAACGTGGATGCGTCTTCCATCTCGTATTTTTTCACGCACATAAAGTGATATGGAATTGTGATCCAAAATTTCGAATTGCTAGAGAAATCATAATTAATCATTTAAAATCTTATCAACAAGAAAGTAAAGTTCCAATTTATGAATTTCCGGCTTGGTGGGATCCACAATTTAATCAATATATCGATGATAGACAACCGTTATTTATCTTATCCGGTGATGGAACCACTGTAGACGGTATTAAAGAATCAAAAATTTTATCTGAAAAAGGTCAAAAGAAAATGTCTATTCTTTTAAAGGGATTATTTTACCATTCACTTCATAAAGATCTATCTATGGCGCTCATACCAGGCATGGAATTTAGAGATTCCAGGGCCCGGGCTTTTGTATTTGATCGTGGTGGTAATGTAGAATCATCAACTATCGATAATATTCCAAATATTGTCGAGCTATGTTCAAATGAGGCGATAAATTCAAATGAACATGAAAATCAAACCGTATTTTCAAATCTATTTAATGAGCAAGAAAATCAAAATGCCTTTTTAAATCTATTTAACGAACAAGAAAATCAAAACTTACTTAAGAATGGTGGAAGAAGACTCATTCTGGCTATCATATCATTGATTGTTCTTTTAAATCAAAACTCAGAGCCAATATATCGTTTGCTCTCCAAGCTATTTTTACTTCATATTTACCTTTTGGATTATATTACATTGCAACTAAGAACTGTGCCATCAATACAGGAAGAAGATATTAACGGCAATAATAATGTTAATACATTCTTAAAAAGTTTTTACAAATGTTGTGACAATATATTAGTTAATAATTCGCTTAAACAAGCCGTTAGCTATTTTGAAGACGTGAAAAATAACCTTGCAGATTTTATAGATACTCGTCTCTTTATAACTCTAATTAAATTACAAAAAGACGGAGTTCTTGACTTTAATAACCTTCCAAAAGAAATAAAACAAGATTTCGATATAGCATGGAAAATTTTAGAACATTACGATAACAAAATCATTAATTTTGATGGTTTGTTAGATAATATCCAAATTAACGAAACTAATATTCCAATTTATGCAAATAAAGAATTATCACTTCTCCCATTTGATTATCCATTTTTCGTCAAAATACTTGGAGATATGCAATTGGAACTTGGTGAAAATAATAGTGATATTATTGATTTTGGTTCTTACGGAATGGATGGAAATATACCATATAATGAAATTACTCACTGGCATTCGGTAAAACCACTTAAAGAACCAAAAAATCATTACAAATATAAAGATAAACCTAAAATAGAAATTAAACAGAGAAACTATCAAAAATATGTTGGATTTTTAAATAGATATGCAGAATCATTATATGGAACGCAGGGATTTTATAAATTAAAAATTATTGTTGAGAAAAATGGTGATAAAAAGTCCGACAAAAAATTATCCAATAGCACAAAAAAAAAGATCGAACAAGCTATTAAAGAAAAATTAGATGAATCATTAAAAGATGATGAAAATTCTTTTAATGGTATAATCGAAGAAATAAAAAAATCTTCAAGTAATGAAAAAAAGTTAACTTACTTGTGTGATCAAATCGACAAAGATAAATTTAAACATCCGAAAATCAAGACGAGAATACAAGTTTATAAATTAAAACTTTTACTTGACCAATGGAACGAATATTGTATGAATGCTAATTCTAAAAAAAAGGATAGCAATCATTATGCAATTCCTGTTAAAATATACCGTCAAATCTTTCTTATTGCACAAAATTTTGGAACAATCGTTGATAAAGATCAAAAAGACTATTTGTCTGAAATTCTTGAAAGATTAGGTTTAGAAGATTCAAAGAATCGTCTTCTTACGATTATAGATATATCAGAAGAAGACAATAATAACCAAAAAGAAAAACAAAAAGAAAAGCAAAAAGAAAAACAAAAAGAAAAGCAAAAGGAAAAGCAAAAAGAAAAGCAAAAAGAAAAACAAAAAGAAAAGCAAAAAGAAAAGCAAATTCCGAAATTTGAGATGCCAAATTCAACCAATTCATATTCAACCAATTTATCATTAGATATATCTGATGCAAGATTTCAAATGCTGGTATGTATAATATATATTCATACTATATTTGATTTCTTAATTTATTTTTGGATATTCTTCGATTTAGTATGCAGGACATTTAATGGATCGAAATACAAATTCTGTTAAAGATGAACGTGTTACTAATTTCAAACCAGGTTAGTATTTAATTTAAATTTAATAATGTTATTTATAATTATTGGAGAAATGTGAAGTTGGTCTACTACGAAGTTATTCTGTATGGTTAATATTATGTTATAAAATAGTTGTAAATTATGTTCTCATGCAGACTGGCCTCATGTTTATCTTTAAGATTAATTTTTCAGACAATAACTTAATTACATACAATTAGACCAGTGGCAACGTGAAGTTTTGGATGTAATTGACAATAATGAATCAGCATTAGTCTGTTGTCCAACATCGTCTGGAAAAACGTTCATTTCTTTTTATGCTATGGAAAAAATTTTGCGTGATGATGATGAAGGTAATACGTATTACTTATTATTATCATTACAGTATCTGTTATAAATTGTCATTATTAAAAAAAAAAGTTTTATACGTAATAGGAATATTAGTATACGTTTCTCCTACCAAAGCTCTTGTAAACCAGGTAACAGCAGAAGTATATGGCCGATTTGACAAAAATTATAAGCAGAGTGGCAAGACTGTTTGGGGAATATATACCAGGTACTTATTAATACTTACGGTAATTTCTTATTTTATTTATATTTACATTAAAAAATTTCGTACACATATATATATCTTGTTTTCTAGAGAGTATAGGGAAAATCATGAAAAGTGTCAAATTCTAGTTACAGTTCCGGAAATGTTGGAAATTTTACTATTATCACCATCTAGCATCAAATGGGTTTCAAGAATTCGTCGTATTATACTTGATGAAGTTCATTGTATAGGTGAAATGGATGGTGGTAGTACCTGGGAATCTATATTACTTCTTGCACAATGTCCAATATTAGCTCTTTCTGCTACGATCGGAAACCCTGAACCATTTAGTAGATGGATTGAAAAAATTCAAACCTCTCGTGGATATAAAATGAAATTAATTAAAACTACAAAAAGATTTTCTGACCTTCAACAATATGTCTTTATTCCAAAATTTCCTCTGCGTCCTTTGATTGAGACTACGATCAAACCAGAAGAAGAATTACGTCAAGATTGCTTGATATCAATTCACCCATTTTCGGCAATGTCTTCAGTAGTTGTTGCTGAAAGTGGAATTCCTTCTGATATGAAGTTATTACCATCTCATTGTATCGAACTTTGGGATGCGATGAATCATGTCAATAAAGATGATCCTGAACTTCAAAAAATTAATCCAGATAAATATTTCAAAGATATTGGATATATTGTAAAAGAGAATGCTGACAAATTTGAAGCTGATATCAAGGAATTATTTATATCTTGGGCTAAAGACAAATCAAAAACAAAGATGGTTAAAACAGTAATTGAAAATCTCAGTAATGATATTAAAGGAAGATTTAATGAATTAGAGTCTACTGCTAAAGAAGATGATAAAAAATTGGATGTTTACGATGAGAGCTATTTTAAAATAGCAATTGTTCCTTTATTATGTGAACTTTCTGCTCAAGATAAATTACCAGCTATATTATTTAGCTTTGATCGTAATAGATGCACTCAGTTGGCAATCGATATTTTAGAGAAGCTAGAGGCTGCTGAGGACCAAAAAAGAAGAGATGATCCTAAATTTGAAGTATTATCATTACATACATGTATATTGATTTCTTTTTTTTTACAAGCCATTCAATTTATTGAACATACAATTTCTTTCAACTAAATTAAACAGGCAAAGAAAAAGGATGCTATTGCGCAAAAAGAAAAAGATAAAAAACAAAATAAACAAAAAAGAGATGCTAAGAAAAAAAATAATAATGACAATGAAGAATTAGATTCTCCTATGCAAAGTATCTTTGATTGGGAGGCACACGATCCAAGTTTTACTTTTGTGAATCCAAAATATCGAATACCATCTGAAGACTTACAAGAGTTAATTAAAACATTCAAAGATAAGATGGTTGGGTCGTTATTTAAACTTATTGATGCATTAAAAAGAGGTATTAACGTTAAAATAATTTATTTATTAAAGTGGTATATAATTTATTATAAATTTCATCTAAGAAGTAAATTACTTGTATGGTCAATATACGTACGTATTAGGAATTGGTGTTCATCATGCAGGTCTTCCGAAGAAATATCTTGGTGCTGTTGAGATCCTGTTTCGAAGACGACACCTTAGTGTCGTAATTGCAACTGGTACCTTGGCTTTAGGAATCAATATGGTATAATATTTTAAATTTTAGTTTTACGGTAAAATTTAATACAACATATGCATATTTAACATTTCACATTCATTATACACATAATTATAACTTTATGGTAGCCATGTCGTACTACTGTATTCGTTGGAGATTCTGTATTTTTGACACCTCTTCAATATCGTCAAATGTAGGTTTGAATTTTAAGCTTATCTTAAATGGTGAATGCTAAATACGTATATAAATCTAAGATAATTATATTGTATATTTTTATCATAGGTCAGGCAGAAGTGGACGTCGAGGTTATGATCTAATAGGACATGTAGTATTCTTTGGAATCACTTTAACAAAAATCAAAAGGCTTTTAACATCAGCGTTGCCAGACATAAATGGACATTTCCCATTAACAACCAGTCTTGTGTTGAGAATGTTTATATTACTTAATAATTCTGAAGATATAAGATACTCCGAGAAAGCAGTTTCAGGATTATTTGGTGATTCGTTCTTTTGTCTTGGAAAAGAACATTTGTTAGGACAAATCAAGCATCATTTGAGATTTTCTATTGAATATTTAAGACGTGAAAATATATTAGACCAAAAAGGAAAACCAATAAATCTTTCTGGAATGATTTCACATCTTTATTATACAGAACCAAGTAACTTTGCAATGGCAGCTTTATTTAAACATGGTGTATTTCACGAAATTTGTTCTGAAATTGGAACAAATTCAACAAGAATGATGGAAAGTTTGATGTTAATTCTATCACATCTTTTTAATAGAAGAAAATTACGATATGTTGATCGAGAATTTTATCGTGAAATATTGGAAAAATATCCATCAAAGTTATTTTTACCAGAATTACCCGAAAAAACTAAGGAAATTTTGGAAGAACATAATAAACGTATATTAGAAATTTATACTGACTATGTTATAACATTTACAAGGCAGAATATGGAAAATATGGGACCAGATAATCGCTTACCACTTTCAAACTTCGAATTTCCTCCAAACCAACTTGAAGACAATACACAAGAATGTAATTTAATTAAAGAATTGAAGTCTATGGCTATTCCTTTTAGTGCTCGATCACCTTTTATTGCAATGTGTGGTTCTATTGGAGATGATTTTATTAATATTGAAGATTTATGCGAACATATACATCACAAAATATATTTGGATTTACATAGTATTCCATATATAAAAATCGGTGAAAATCTTAATGCATATTTATTGGACTTCTTTAGTCATGGACAAGAATCAACTCTTAATAAAGCAAACGGTATACGTGCTGGTGAAGTTTGGCAATGTAACGTATTATTTTTTTTTATCTAATTTATCTTAAAGATGTATATTAGATTTTAACTTGTTTGATACTATAATTATAGGTTTGAAAGATTTTGATTATGTTCTTCAATCAATTGTTACATCTTTGACAGTTCGAAAAATTGATAGTGAGAATGATGTTTTAGAAGGATTTAAGATGGTTGGTGAGTCTTTTAGAGAAAAGTTTGTTAAAATGTGGTCTTAAATATTGTTTTGTACGAGAAAATAAAAATTTATATAGTTGCTTTAGATTTTAGCATTCTTGATACATTTTATGCTTAAATGAATATTATACTGTATAAAGATTAGATTTTTATCCTCACTCAGTAATTAAAATATAAATTTTCAAGTTATAAAATAATAAACAATAATATATATTTGTAAACCCTTGAATGTTTTACTGCCCAGAGTATTGTGGAATAGTAAGTAATCAAAATTATATCAGCTATGTTGATTATTTTACTATGCACATGTACGTGAAATTCCCATTTTTTTGAAAATTGTTTTTGACTCAAAATACCGCTTACCTATGTGCATCCCAAAATAATGAGTCACTTTTAAATATGCCTATACCTTTTCCTTTATTATTATTATTATTATTTAGGATCAAAGTTTACATTCATCAATAACGCGGCAGCACAATAACTCGAGTTATTTTGGCAGCACTATCTTAGTAAGCTGCCGGATAATAGAAAACATAATCCATTTTATAAAAAACGGATTCCTGTTTTCTAAGATACAGTAAAATTAAAAGTTCACTTCTAAGTTAACATTTATATCTTACAATATTATTGGTATTCTTTATTATAAAATTTTTTGCAATTTCATATTTTTATACAATCTATATGTTTATTTCCTTTTATGCCAAAACTTTTGAAGTATCTTACTTTGAAAATGGCGTTTTGAGACTATCGACAAAATCAAACTCGAAGTTTGATTGCCTGCCACTCACGTTACCTTTGCTACACGTTTAACATTTATTTCATCTATTTTATTGAATGTACTGTAGATTGAATTGTCATAACATATTTAAAGGCCTAAACTGAATTCGCTTTCAAGGCACGTTCGAACGGGGACGTCTAAAGCGGAGGCAAATCATGTGATCTTTGGCCAATTAAATCACATAATTTTGATGATCGCCGGAAGAAATAAACAAAAAACCTGAAAATACAAAAAACAGCAGTCTAAACCTACTTCGGGTAGGTTAATCAAAGGTGTCAGGAAGGCAATTTTGCTTATATATAACTACCTAAAACCATTAGTATAGGATGCCACTAACCCTAAAGTTAATCGAAAAAGTTATAAATATGAGTTGCCTCCGCTTTAGACGTCCCCTCCAAATGGAGCTTATTTACTATTGGATTTGTTACGCTAAAATACAAATATGCATGCAGCCATACACAGAAATTTTCCAAATGTACATTTTTGATGCGACAATTTAAAAAACTAATAAACAAATCAAAAACGTAACTATTGATGTAACTTTTGTATCACTTTAATTAAACATTAAATGTCCTACGCTACAATTGATGAATTTTTTTCCTTCTTTAAAAAAAAAATGG